CCAGGACAACATTTGAATAGTGCCACGAAGCTAGATCCGGCCAGAAGATCGCGGGGCCCTCGTGTTGCTTCAACAGCGGTAGCAGACGCTTCTGTAGACACTCCTTTAGGTAGATCTCCCCGTTTACAGTCCCGGTAGTCCCGAACGGCACACTTCGTTTACCACATGACCAGATCGTTTGCCAAATCATGTATTTCTTGGCCAACTTTGAAAATTTCTGCTTCCTGACTTCCTTCATCATCCATGATGAGACAATGAGGCTTCGTCAGCATCTTGGTGTACAGTTTCCGGGCCCGCGACGTCCCCACCGTATTTTGCCGTTCGTCACGATTTGGAGCCTTCTGCATTTTGTACGTATGCAGTCCCTCCCGGTCCTTGGCTCTCTGAACGAAAGACTTGGACGGGTTCAACTTTCTGGCCACATCCCTGACCGAAGCATTGGGATTCCGCCTAAACGCTTTCACGACACGCTTGTGATCCTGATCACTAATAGAACATCCATTCTGACCGCATTTCTTCTTCCGTTCCATGCTCAGAGTTTCGTAGTAACGTTTAATCACACGACTCACCGGTGACTGCACGATTCCGAGTGGTTTTGCGATGTCCACATGAGAGAGTTCTTGATCAACAATAGAAAAAAGCCCATCAGCATTTGTAAACAAACCGTTCCCAAGGCCTTTCCTCACAAAGCGAAAGCCACCCACGCAAACCAACACCATCATCGGATAGGGGAAACTTCTATCTACACGATAATGGTGTTGGTTTGTGTGGGTGGCCTTCGATTTGTGAAGAATGAGCTTTGGAACGGTTTGTTTACAAATGCTGATGGGCCCTTTTCTATTGTTGATCCAGAGTTGAGGATTTTCCAGGTGCTAGCGCAAAATAAATTCCCGGCGTTGCATTTCGGGTGATGCCATTTTTTCCAACTATCGAAAAACTGACAGCGATAAAATACAGTGTAATCAATACACTCTAAACTACTTCTAACCAAATTTTCAAGAGAAAATACCCAATGGATAATTTTTAACAGCGTTTTTTCCATGATGCAATTTGATGTGGCTCCACAATTCCTCAATTGGCCTTAGTTCCGGAGTATTTGCCGGATTCATCTCATTGGGAACCACTGTGACGCCACTTTCGCTGTACCACTTTTTCGGGGAATTTGAGTTGTGGCAGCTTTCCAAGTCCGTCCAAAATAGGCAATCCACCTCATGCTGCTCCAGAAAAGGCAGTAGTCTCTCTCATAGGCACTCCTCATGGTAAATTGGCTTGTTCATGTTCACAGAAGATGCGAGACAAGGAACTTTTTGGGGAATTACGACTTCTTTTTTATTTTACATTTTTCAGAGGCACTCGTCCAGTCAACGGGGTATAAAACTCCTGCCCAGGAGTTTGATCGAAGACTGACAGGTGCGGATAGACCGGGATTTTCGTTTCAAACGTGCAGGATCCAATCGTGACGTGCTTGCTCCGGTAAAGCCATGATGTAAAAAATTTGGACTTATCCAATGTCTACTGTGATTCTATACACTCTTAGCTTGATTCAGTGAAATGTTAAAAAAAAACTAAAAATAAACCTTAATGGCAGCGTTTTTTATGTGTCCGGATTTTTTCGTGTTCAACCTTTATGAGCATTAAATTGCAAAAAATGGCCCTTATCGTGTTATTAACGGGTTTGGTCACTACTTGGGTATTTCAAAATATTATATATTATGTATTATTTTTAGCTGCAGTTTCGTTGAAACTAAAGACTGGAACGCGCAAAAAATGGTCGACAAAAAATCGTTTCTTTCAGTCAAAATTCCTTTCACAAAATTGTTCTTATTTTCCTTTTGGTAATTCAAATCATATATTTAGAGGAGAAAATGTTTGTTTATTCTTTTGGTTTGCCAAATCCGAACTGCCGTGCCTTCCGCTTAACCCCTTCCATTAAATTTTGCATAGTCATCTCATCGACCTTATTCGCCGCCGAACGCCAGTTAGATTTAAACTGCTGCTGGTTTTATTAGTTTTTTTTTTTTTTTTGAGATTCCGTTTGACCAAGGTTCAATACCGTTCGATAGGGTGGAGTTCTGGGCTGTTGGGAGGGTCGAGGTCTTTGGGTACCACAACCACGTTGTTCGCATCGTACCCCATTTTTCCCATAGTGGCAGCTCGCCAAGTCCGGCCATAAAAGCACAGGTCTATTATGTTGCTTTAGGAATGGTAGCAGCCGCTTTTCCAGGCACTCCTGGACGTAGATCTCTTGATTGATGGTTCCCGTAGTAATGAAAATGCCACTTTTTAGACCACACGTGCATATGGCCTGCCAGACGATATATTTTTTCGGGAACTTCGATAGTTTGATGGTTTAGAAAATTTCAGCCACCTTCCCTTTTCCTGATGCGGTATAAAACTCCTGTCCCGGAAGCTGCTTAAAATCCGCCTTCACATAAGTTTCGTCGTCCATGACGACATAGTCGAACTTTGTGATCAGATTCGTATACAGCTTTCGGGACCGCTGCTTTGCCGAAGTGTTTTATTTGTAATCTCGGTTCGCCACCTTCACCTTCTTAAACGTTCGCAACCCGGCTCGTTTCTTGGCCCGCTGCAAAGGTAGTATGGGAGACATTGAGCTTGCCAGCGACGTCCCGGATGGAGAGGTTAGGATTCCGCTTATATTTCACTGCCACTTTCTTCGTCGTCTCTGCCACGTCCGGATTACGATTGCCGCCGCTTCCTGGCGGTCGACAGACGTTCCCCGAACACTTTTAAAACGTTTGTCACGGTCGATTTGGCCACATCCAGCAATTTTGCCAACTTGGCGTGTGAGAACGTCGGATTCTTGGACGTCATTTTGAAAAGTGAAGAGCAAACGGTGAAAATTCATCATAGCAACCATTGTTTATACACTCAACTTCCAAATGCAGCATTTCAGGTTTTTTTTATGTATTTTTAACAGAAATACACCAATTTGAAGATGGCCAATTTTTGTGCGTTCCAGACTTTATACTTATTTCTCAATATATTTATTAAAAAAAAAACTTGAGTTTCATGTTCTCGTTACAGTAATAGATATTTCTTAATATGCTTTCTCTGAATGAGCCATGCCCTTTTGTTTTATTTTGATGTATGTTTAAAGTTCTTTTAGGATATCTGTTATTCAAAATCTGCTTTAAATTTTTTAAAGATGAAGTGTTTGTTGGTGTTTTTTTAATGATTTTGGTCCTATTTGATGTTTTGAGTGTTGTCCCTTATTTTTTCCAATTATTGTACTCTCCATAAGTCGATATTTTCACTAGTTGATGTCTCTCTTGATCAGGGCTGGCAAATGTCATTTTCAATGAAAGATCTCACGATACTTCTTTTACTATCATTATATGAGAAAACGATGATAGAAATTTCTTCAAAATCTCAAAGAATTTGTTGTCATGACAGAACGTGACAGTGTTGTGATCATCGTAATTACTAGCTCATTTAATGCGTTTCAAGTTACTTGTACCGAGCAAATCTTAATAATACATTCACTCTATCGATTACATACGGTTTTTTGCTTAAATTCATCTAAATCAGTTAGAAATGTTGATGTCAAAACCGCATAAGAATTATTCTCATGAGTGCTTGATTATTGAAAAATGACAAGAATGCTAATGATAGGTAGTCTCGTATCGTGATAGTGAGAGTACCTTTTTTCTCATTGTCACATGACGGCCGTGATATTTACCAGTTCTGCTTTTGATCGAACATTTTATTTAACATTCAAAATCAATTTTCTTGGCAAAATTTTACAATATTTTTTTTTTAAATTCAAAATCAAAAGGAGAGTTAGGTAAAGATAGATGATAAAACCGAGATGATACCTTCCTAAAAGTTGTCCTAGCTCGCTGTCTACTCTCTACATGCAATTGTCACACTGCCGTCTTCTAAACGGAACTATCAATTCTATACTTTCATCTCCTCCTCATCTATCGTATTAAAAATACCACTTCAGTCTGTTATTTGAAGCATCTTCAACTAAAACTATCAAAATATTGTTTTAAAGTTGATGTTCAATGATTTGTGGTAATTTTTAAATGCCCAACCTTGAAAATCTCACAGAAGATAGCATTTTTAATAAGCTTTTTAATGATAAATATTCAAGAAATATTGAATACGACCGTTTGTTATTTAAGTTTTAAACACTTTTTTGGATTTTTTTTCCCAAATTTTCAAGTTTTTTTTTTTATTTACCTAGTATTTTTTCTGGAAAGAAATTGTTTTTTCCCACAATTTTCAATTAACCGTCGACAGGAAGTTACATTTTCAAGTTGTAATTTATTGAAAAATATCGAATATACGATACATTTTTGGCGATTTCACCGCGATGTTGTCAGTTTTAGCAGGTTTTAGAGTTCTTGAAGCTATTTTGGTGTTTTGTAGACCAAGCAGGTAGAGCAATTGTTGATAGACAAATGTTTACCGCGCTACCAGCTGAGTACGGTGCTAACGGTTAGATATAAAAGTTTGAACATTTACTAAATCTGATTCGAAACAGTCTTTTCCTACCAGCCTAACTGTTTTTAACACAGTCTGGCTAGCCGTAGGTCGTAAAAACTGTGATGCTTTGATGATCAGCCTTCCCGTAACGTGTTGGAAATGAACTAACCAATGTCACCTTCATCGAGTTTAAAGCCAGGGAATTTTCCGTTTGCTTTAATCCCATCAACAACAGCGACCACGAGCAAATGCCGTTCACCTTGAAAGTTTCGAAATCCGAGACACGCCAAACGACAATAATCTCTTTCAACTGCATTGATTTTGCAAACCACCACCCCTTGGCCATGACTGCAAATTTGTTTGAATGCGAAAATTTTCCTTGTGCACTCTTCCACACATACACGCTCTCCGGCACGCGCGGTCACGGCAACAGTCAGTCCGAATTTTCGCAGTGCTTGTCGTGCTGTTAATTTGGAACCCAATCAACGGGGAAGCACAGTTTGATCCTTTTCGATAAGTGGTAACATATTTCATTTCCCCAGCAGCAATCAATCCTCGATACGGAATCATCCCCTGAGCGCTTCTTATTACTAGCTTCTTCTGGTAGTGCAACCGAAAATCACCTATTTCTCATACACGAAGCGAGAAATTTCCACCTGAGCGTTTGCTGTGCTCCGTGTGTTTGGTTTGAGAGCAGTGTGCAGGAGAAGAAATCGGAGGAAAATGTTTATGTAATTGAAGTATGGCTCCCGCAGCAATCTCCCAGCAGTAGTGGAAGTAACCGGAAAATCCAAACCATAAAATGCTAATGAAACTGGAATAGTGAACGGAACGGGTGAAAAAAGAATCCGGACGCTTTGTCACACGGTAGTGTACTTCTCTCCTAAAGCGCGTTCCCTGAGCGCGCTTATCTCTTATCCACACCCACCCCCATCGACCTCAAGTGTAGAAGTTAGCTAGGAGCCGGGAATAGATAGGAAGAAGAAGCATACACACCTACTTTTGTGTGTGTTGTTATTGCGAGTTGCCGACTACGACGACGGAATAATCGGCTCGAGTCAGCTGATCTCCTTGAACGCGCGGGAGTTGTCTTCATTTTCCCCTTCACTAACCACCCTCCCTCCAATCCATCCACCGGCGGGCGGCTCGAGTTGTTTGTTCGAGAAAAAAGTTTCGTGTTTTGGCATTTTCCTGCAACGTCCGACCAGTAGCGAGCATCGTCGAGCACTGAGCAGGCGGTGCCGAAGAAAATTGATTGCGGTTCCAGTGAAGAAAAAAAAAGAAGGCAGTAAATTCATAAGAACCATCGCAATTACACAAGGGAAATAGAAACCGAATCAGCAACAATGAGTGAAAATTTCATCAACTTCTCCGAGATCAGAGGTGAGTGGAAAATTATAATGGCATAATATTTCCTCGAAAAGCATTGCGGATCGAACGTTGTAAAAATTGTCAGCCTTGTCTCTGGTGCAGCATTTTCATCGAATCGATACGGGCTGTTTTAAAGAAGAGAAGGACTTCCTCTAGGCCAGGCCTAGCACGCAAGCAGACAACTTCACTTGAATAAATGAGAAACGCACTCGATTCCGACACGTCATGCGATTTTCATTTAATAGACTTTCTCAACCCAATCGGTCGAGAACCACCTAAGCTTTTCTACCGATGCAAACGGTTCATGGCATGTGGCATTCAACACGAATAGTAAGGAATTGTCACGCATCTTTCTATTTTTTTTTAATGCCGCATAACAGCACAACAGAAAAAGGCCCCGTTGCAAAATCGCACGCCCCGCGTGCATTTCACAATTTGTTATACAGTCATGCCTATGGTCTCAAAGTGGATTATGCGGGAAGAGTCCTGCTTATTCTGCCGTGAGCTTCGTACATGCTACGTGGCTTTAGCCTACCTAAGATGATTTAACCTGCTTTGGAGTGTCAATATGTCATCCAAGAGAACTTTTTCCAATCTAAAGTGATGTCACAGAGAATTTTTTTTCAAGATTGATCATTCTTAATTTCTTACTTTAATAAAACTAAAAAAAGGTAAGAGGATGTATCCAAGACATGACCGTAGATTTGACGTAGGATATCAATATTTGGCGGCTTTGTTAGGGAATCTACTTTTTCTCATCACGGAAACGCCTCGTTTTCTGATGACAAAAGTACACATTTTCGTGCACAAAACGCACGGAATTTTTGGTTTATTCAATAGATAATAAAAAAAACGGACACTGATTGGAGGCTGCTAAATTTTCCAATCGCGAGATATACGCGATCAATCATATAAATTTGAGAATTTTTTGCTCTTTTCCAGCGCCCTGGAAAAAAAATCTTGCCTTAATTCGAAGTGTTTCTGGTTAACTGACAAGGTCAAGTGGTATTTGGTCATTGCGGGAATTTTTCTGTACCACTTCATTACTGTTACGAATTTAACCACAAACGTTTGATTACTGGGTACATTATCAAAAAGCTTTGGGGGTGATGTGTCTGGCAGCAAGGCGAGCGAACGTTCAATAAAAATTAACTCTAAATCAACAATAATTTATAGAGGTCCTGAATTAAACCGTTTTGTCGCGATGATTGAGCAATGCTGAGCTATAAGGGTGTTCAACACGGAAGAGGCTGGCGAACTGCATGTTGTTTGGAACGAGAGTGACGTACTTGGCATAGATGGCCCACAGCGGCTCACGACGAGCAACTGAATCCGATCAGTAGCGGTGCGGCTTCTTCCTCCTTCTTCGGTGAATGGACGATCATGTGGGATGCAACTCACTGCTTGCGGGCAGCCTTTCGTTGTGTACTGGAGAACAATGTTCCAAGCCACGCGCCGAAATCACTGCTGCTGCTGATGATGATGATGATGATGACGACCGACCGGACACCACAAAACACGGTGATTGAATAAACATCGTTCGGCGAGACCAGATGGAATTCGATATTGAAATGTGTTGAGGATAGCGCATTTTGCAGACATTTGGTGAGAATTTTGATCACCATTGCAACAGCTGGACATTTGTGTAATATTCAATAGTGACCTATTGAAAATTAATAGTATTCATTTTAGCAGATTCGTAGAAAATCCAATTGATTGGCTTGTTTAGAATAAAAATACATCCGCTATTGACAGAGTTATAAGTGGTCAAAACCTGACCACTTTTCGTAACGTGGCCAATTTTGGTTTTTTGAATTTGCACCCTCAATATGTTGCTGAAAGACATAATCCTACGTCAAAACTTACTTAATTTGAGTAAGTCCAAGATCTTAAAATATGTCTTGAAGTTTTGTATTCCATGTACAAGTTCAAGATATTGAAAATCAAAGAACGAGGAATTAAGGAAAAAAATAAATGATTTATTTCAAGTTCGTAATTAACTCTATGAAAGACAACAATTGTAGGAACTTTGGAGAAGTTCTGAGGAATGATAGGATATGCTGAGAATTTCGGTAAAGCTCCATAAACAAACTGCGGGAACATAAGAGAAATTAACACGCTGAAAATATAGGGAACTTACTGGAAGCTTTAGGAACCTCAAGGCGGTTCTTTTACCATCCGAAAATTTTCAGCAACTTTTATGAAGTTCCTAGAATTTCATAGAACTTCACAGGTATCAAGCAACTTGAGAAAAATAGAAAACTTGAGGGGTATTGTGCAAATTTCTAAAGCGTTCTAAGCACCTCAGAAAAGCTAGCTCTAGCGATCATTGGGGAATTTCAGATCTTAAGGTGATACTCTAAGGAAGCCTTAGCGTGAAACTTCAAAGCCACAAATGTAGCTTCCACAACACATACAAATTTGAAATTGCTACTCTCTGTTTGTAGTAGCACAGCAAACAAGTAGTAGCAATTACAAATTTGTATGTTTTGTGGAAGCTGACATTTGTGCCTTTAAAGTTTCACGCTAAGGCTTCCTTAGAGTATCACCTTAAGAGCAGTTTCCGTAATTTTAATCCAGACTTTTGGAGCAGTTAAAGATCTATAACCGTAAATTTAGAAAAATTCAGCATAGTTCCATGGAGTGCTGAAAAAAATCTAGAACCTTTAAGAAGTTCCGAGAATTTCAGGGAAGTGCAAAAACCTTCAGATAATTTATAAAAACTTCAGAAATATTTCAGGAACTTCACAGAAGTCCAGAGAACTTCAGGAAAATTTAAAGGTGTTTACGGGAATTCTATTTTCGAGCAGAACCGAGATCTTCAATAGAATTGAGAGCTTTAAGGAAGCTTCAAGAACATCAAGACAGATCAGAGAATCAAAAGGTAGTTCAAATAATTTTAATAGAAACCTTAAATAAGTTTCGGGAAACTCAGGGAATTTCCGGAAACTTCAGGAGAGTTCCGAGAGAATTTCTGGAACGTGATAAAAATTATATGAACATCCGGAAAACGTGAAAGTATTTTAAGGGTGTTATATGATGGAAATTTCAAGAGCTTAAAAAAATGCGAAAATTAAGCTAAGTAGAGAACATCAACGAAGTTTTATTAATTTAAAAAAAAAAATGCGTGAACTTTTAGCAAGCAACTATATCTTCAAGAAATTCCAGAGAACTTCTAATAAATTAAGTTGTTTTGGATAGTTTTATGACATTCAGCAAAGTTCCGAGTACTTCGAGGGCGATCAGATAGCTTCAGAATAATCCCATTAACTTAAGCAAATTTGCAATGACTTACAAGGAGCTCCGTGTAAGTATGGGGTATACCAAGAATTCTATAATTGATCTGAAAACGTCAGAAGCGTCAGGGAATTATGAATGTATGTATATCAGAAAATTTGCCGGATTCTTAAAATAAAATAGAGAGCTTAAGGTAAGCATAGATAAGTTCAAGAGAAATTAGTGAGCGTTTATCTAAAATTAAAAATACTGATAAATTCAGGGCAGTATAGAGAACTTTAAAGACATTTAGTAATCGTTTAGGAAGTTTTAATAACATCAGGAAAGTCAAGACTATTGCAGACGTTTTAAATGAGTGTCGATAATGTAAGGGAAGTTTCATGAACTTCAGAAAAATCTTGAGAATTTCAGTGAAAATCATAGAACTATATTAATTATTTCGTTCTAGTTGCATGAAAATTGCGGAAGCACAAAAGTTCCAGAAATTTAGAAAAACTTCGAAAACTTCACAGAAGGACAGTGGTCTTCAGAAATATTTCGAGAACTTCATAGAAATCTATGGAGCTTAAGGAGAGATCCGCGAACTTAAGGAATTTTTTATGAACAAAATGCGGGAGCATTTGAAAGAAGTTTAGTAAGCTCCGAGTATTGGCGGAATGTCACGAGAAGGTCAGTTCCATTAGTTTCAGAAAAATAGTGAGAAATTCAAAGCAGTTCCCAGATTTTTAAAAAACTTCAGAGATGGTTAAAAGCTAATTGAGGTCTTCGCATAAGTTCAGAAGTTCACGGAAGCTTAAACCTTTTTAGGGCGGTTCATTTCAATTTAGCTCAGTACAACAAGGTTCATGAGAACTGCAAAAACTTTAGAGAAGATTTGAGAATTTCAGAAAAGAACAGAGCAGAGCAGTTCCATTAACATTAGAGAAGTCACATAAATGTTAAAGAAGTTTAGAGATCCACAATCGTTGGAAAAATTAAAGAAACTTTAGGAAGTCCCATGAATTTCAGGGAAGTTTAAGAATTTGATGAGCAGTATTGTGGGCATCAGGCTAGTTTCTAAAACTACAAAAGAACTTCAAGGCAGTTTCATTAACTTCAGGAAAAAATTGGGAACTTTCAAGTAGTTCTGACGTCCTCAGAATAGTCCATTCCATATTCAACGGAGATTTCCATTGAAATATTCATCAAAATTTCGATAAAACTATCCTCCAAATTCATCTTTTTTAGATTTTCCTTGGAATTACCTTGAAATTCTTCACAATAAGAAACCCTTTGGAAAGATTCTCCGAATATTAATGTAATTCATTTCAGATTACCTTTTGAATTTCACTCCTTTCCTTGGAATTCTGCTCACATTGAAAGTCTACTGAGAATTCATTTGCATTTCTCCTCACAAATTCCTTAGATTTCTGAATTCCTTTGAAGATATCCTGGAGTTACTTATGCTCCGGATTCGTTTTCTCCCACAAGTTTTATTAAATTATCATCAGAATGGCCTTGGAATTTTTCTCTGAAGTTAACAGGAGTTGTGCTCCTCAGAAATTTCTAAGAGTTTTCATTAAAATTAATTGTTTATTCAATTCAGGGTTTCTTGAAATTCTACTCAAAACTGTCAGGCTTCACATGAAATCTAAAATTCCTCAGAACTACCTTAAAAGCAGATTGCATTTGATGTTTTTCTGAATGATTTTTTTTCCCAGAACTCCCTTTGAATGAGGAGCTTAGAAATAATAATAAAAATTAAAACTGTGCATGGAATTTGACTCCAGATTCTT